GCATTTACCTGAATGAAATCGATTCATTCAGCTTTTTTTTTTTTTTTTTTTTTTTTTTTTTTGTGCTTAGCTGTGATTTGGTCACAGCTAATCACATGACATGTGCATGTGATTAGCTGTGACCATTCACAGCTAAGCACTAGTATACAATGGATGGCATCATGAATGAAGCCATCCATTGTATACAACTGTCATGTGACCTGCTGTGATTGGTCACAGCAGGTCACATGGTACCGGCAACGGGAGCCGGTACTCGGATCTGTCATCGGCCGTGTCCGAGGTGCACGGGCGGTGACAGGTCGCACTGCTGCGTCGCTCTGCAACCGCGCAAACCGCGCATGTGCGGGAGCACGCCAAATGGCGTGCACCCGGAAAGCTGCAGCGCTTTTCAAGCCGCCAAACGGCCATTGGCCGGGCTGCTAATGGTTAAGGAGCTTACCATCCAAGGTGTCTATCTCACATACTGTACATACATACACATACTAGGGACAATTTAGAGAGGGGTAAATGAGGCTACCAACAAGTCTTTGGAGTATGGGATAAGTCACAGAAGCATAGGTGGAACATGCAAACTCTATGCAGATAGTGTCATAGCTGGGATTCAAACCAGGGAACGCAGTGCTGCAAGACAGAAGTGCTAACCACTAAGCCACTGTACTGAGCAGAACGATACACTCACAAAATCATAATTTTGTAGAGCGCTGTAAGTAAATTAGTAAAAGTACTCTGTAGTTGTTTTTTACTCCATGCAGTGTGCACATCCTGTAGTCTCAATAAATGAAGTCCCTGGGAATACAGGCATATGCTCCAACAGGAGCTAAACATTGCATTTTTTAAAGAATAAAATTGTATTTATTTTAGTACAACCACAAAAAGTGTTCCACACTGTGACTTACAAACAGCATAGGGGAAATAGTTGAAAGTACAAACACATGTCAAACAATATCACAAGTGTAATAAAAGCGCCACACCCTTAATACTTTAAAGCAGCAATTCCACCTCAAAGAAACCAAATAAATTTCTTAGTGCTATAACTTAAATAAAGGAATGCGCTAAAACCACAAACTATTCCTAATTTAGTGTAGAAACATTAGTGCAAAAGATATATATATCTATTCTCAATTAATATCAAAAAATATCAAAATTATGTGCAAAGCTATTTTTTAGTGCATAAGTAATTTAAATAATTAAATCAGTGAGTATAAAAATTGTCCAATTTTGAATTTCTTCAAATGTCCAAACAAATCCTTTTCAAATTCAGTTGCTCTCAAAGAAATTGTGCCAAAATCCACCACCAAAGTAAAGTTGGGTAACTCACCAGAGCTCCATGCTGATCAATCTCTAGATCAGCAAAAAACGCTTTTTGCTCTGGGAGCAGATGCAATGAATCAACTTCTCAGGTGTGATGATCAATAGCTACACAATCATCCATAAGGTAGGTATCCACCACTCAATATAACGGTTCCAGGAGCATTATATAACTCTCTCTTTTTATATCTCTCCACATGTCTAACAGTTGGTTCCTAAACATCTACATCCTTGATCAAAAACACTATACACCAGGCCAAGTCCACAGGGTATAACACATAGAACCTTTCGCAACACCATTGAGGTGTACAGTACAAGTTATTTGTTGAAATTGACCTTTGGCTATAGGTTAAACTTAAAATATTACTAAACACAAAACCTTTTTAAAAAAATTTTTGGATAGAGTGCCAAGGGATCAGAACTCCTGTCCCCAAACTACATCACCGACCTAATATCCAAATACCACCCAAAACACACTCTCTGCTCCTCACAAGACCTCCTTCTCTCTAGTTCCCTGGTCTCCTCCTCCCATGCCCACCTCCAGGACTTCTCCAGGGCATCACCCATCCTATGGAACTCCCTACCCCAATCCATCAGACTATCACCTACTCTCCTCTACTTTAGGCGCACCCTGAAAACTCACATCTTCAGGGAAGCTTACCCCGTCCTCTGCTAATTGCCGATCTCCTCCACTCTTCCTACCACTCCATCCCCCACAGCTATTCCTCCAGCTATTCCTATCCCCTCCCTCCTAGTATGTAAGCTCCAAGGAGCAGGGCCCTCGAACCCCTCGTGTATCGCACTGTATTGTTATTGTACTGTCTCATGTATTGTCTCCCATTGTAATGTACAGCGCTGAGCGAACTGTTGGCGCCATATAAATACTGTATAATAATAATAATGTTTTTATTGCAGTCAGTGCCCCCGCTAAGGAGATTCCCCCTCTTTATTTGTCCTGTTTACCAATATCACTGAAAGTGAAAGCAAAAGAAAATCCCAAATGTTGGGTTGTCCCCATAAAAGTAATACTGGGGAAATCTTTCAATGGGGTCACCCGTTCTGGAGATCCCTGGGATTCCTTTAATTTGCAGGGATTTCCTTTCACTTCCTGTTTGGCTAAGGGAAAAGAAATCTCTGAAATGGAACACAGATATAATCCTCTCTTATTCTATCCAAATTGAAAAAAAAAAAAAGTTTTGCCTATAGTTCTACTTTTATCATTTTACTGTGATGACTATAGCCACATTTGCTAGCACACTGTCGGTTTGATTTACTAAAACTGGACAGTGCAAACTTTGGTGCAGCTGTACATGATAGCCAATCAGCTTCTAACTTAAGCTCGTTCAGTTCAGTTTTGACAAAATATCCTGGAAGTTGATTGGCTTCTATGCAGAGCTGCACTCTCCAGTTTTAGTAAATAGACCCCTATGTGTTGGCACAGTTGCTAGTAGTCCGACTCAGTAGTGCACAGGAAAGTGACCTGAGCAAGCGTTGTCCGCCTAGGAAAGGAAGTGTCCGTACATGCATTTTGCTTCTATGGTTTAAATGAAAGCAGGATAAACTGGTTTATGATATTGGGCTGATACACTTTAAAGTGCACCTGTGCCCACACTATGGACAATAAACTATTTACATATTCCAAACAAGCGATAAAAATGCATTTACATTGTAAGAAAAAAAGCCATCCTTGACCTCTCTAAAGTAAAGTGAAGCAATTTTGGGACTTACTCACCCTAGGTGATCCGAACCCTGCCTGAGCATGTTTGGCCTCCAAAGTAGGGTTAGATTCACTAGTGTGATCTCTCCACACCATGCTGGGGCACAATGCAGCATACTATCCTCTGGCCCAGTTGAAGAGGTGGGCTTTGGCACAGTTCAGTTGGACTGAGGTACAAAATGGTCTATGGCAGAGGTGATGACGGAAGCATGCTCTGGCCCCACACCATGTGAGTGCAGGCGAATGGGGGAGTGAGGACAATCGTGTTTGGACAAACGTATGCTTAGTATGAGCAGGCTCCTAAAAAAATCTTCAAATATTACAATGAAATCGCTAAAGTAATTTCAGCCAGTTTCTAAGGCCTTAGAAACACCCGCTGTGTGTTTACATCAGAAGGCTGTCAGCTTGCCAAGATTCTGGTCTCATAGAAAAATACACTGCCTGTGTTTTGAACTTTGAAAATTAATTTCTTCACAATGCTTACAGATACAGAGATGAATGGGGGTTGTTTTAAGTACTTTAAACTGTTTGTTCGAAATAAGCAAGTCCGTAAAACCTCATGCGCATGGAAGTAAATAGGCAGAAAATATAAGTACAAAATCTTCATTATTCCATGGCTGGGGAGCTGCAGGTGGGGTGCACAGCCTGTCATAGAAAGGAATGCATGGGTAAATACCAACGCAATGAAGCATCAGAATTTACACAGGTGCAGAGCATGTACAACCATTCATTTCTATGACAGACTTTATGCCCCACCTGCAGCTGCCCAGCCACAGAAAAATGCAGAGTTTTTTGCACTAAGCATTTTTTATGCCCATATACTGTATGCCGTTTGTGTCTGGGCACAGGTTTACTTTAATGCATTTGAAGGGAATATTAATACCCAGAAAATATTGAAGCCAATGCTTAAGGCATGACAGTCAAACAATTAGCATGTTCAGAATAAGTGATCGATGATGGCAATTTCATACAGTATTTCTCCTATGACAAGTAGACCACTGTGTGTTTATAGGGACAAAGTCATAACCAGGATTACCTCTGAGTACGAAACATTCTTGTTCTGGGATGTGGCTGGTAGAATTACTCAGCTACTAAGGCTGAAGGAAGAAACAAGAGGTAAGAACAATATAATCCCCTCAATTCATACTCGGCTCCCACACAGAATCAAACACCCATTATTGTCAGTCAAATCCAGAGCCACCCAGTTTGCAAATATTACACTTTGAATGTAAACTGCAAAGCAGATGTGTTAGTGATGTCATTAGCATATTTTATGGACTCTTGAAGTATTTCATGGGTGTATCGCTTTCAGGTCAGAGTCTTCTTCAGATAGGTGAATATACAATCGCTGCTCATGACAACATAATAATAACAACATTTAGCAGACGCAAGAGCGAGTAAAACCAGGTGATGCAGCAAGTGCAGATCACCCTTTACACCTCACTAGTTTGTTTTGGGTAGGCTCTGTAGGGTTCGATTGGTCCTCAGCTTGTCAGAAGTGTTTGGGACCCTACCGAGAAGATCGTCCCACCATTTTGGTTCCTAGCTCTTCCTTACCATGGCTGTGACAAACCCAAACTTAGTTTTATGCCAAGCTGTACTGTCACTTGGGCCACCCACATCCAACTGGATACTACTTCGTTTGACTTTATGGAGAAATCAGCTTAGGCAGAATGATCAAGAAATGCTTTTATTGGCCATAATAGAAGGAAGAAGTGGGATGTTTTGTGGAAGATCGCACCACTGAGGTCACTCAAAGACTATACACACAATAGTGTAGTTTAAGTCTGAAATATCAGTTTTCAGCAAACCTGGCCTTTAAAGTTTTACTAAACCCACAACAGTAAAATCAGTCTGTATATGAAGTAAAGCATGCTTGATATACTCACTTTGGAACCTAAGGAGTTAATCTTCTGCATTATGTAAAAACGCTGTTTGATCCTGTCTTCTCTGATTCTTCCCTTCTTCCAGTGTCTCCCACTTATCTCCTGATAAGACATATCGTGTGGAGACACTCTGCACATGTTCAGTTTGGTGTGTATTGCTCGAGGGTTTTTTTTTCTCTTGGGAGAGAGCATGTGATCAGCACAGGGCCAATCAGCACTGTCCAGACAGAGGTCAGGTGTTCTGCATCCTCCTAGAGCATAAAGAAAACTCCTTCTACAAGCTTTAACCAGTGCCCAGCTGCACACTGATAGACATCCTAAGACTGCTATATACTGCTGATGAGAAAAGGTATTTAGCAGTTTATATTTACTAAAACGATTGCATTTCCATGCTCTGTGTACTGTAGGAGGCCAGATATAGTGAATGAAGGGTTTAGTAAAACATTAGGCCAGAGACAATGTTTGTGATCAAACTGCCCAGAATACTGTGGATTCCAAACCACAGTGAATACATGCTAAATATGTTTGGAGGGCTACCATAAATTCTATATTTTATGGAAAATGGAACAAAAATATACAGTATGCTAGATCATGATATGTCTCACAGCTGCATACTGAGAAAGATTTGCATTAAGGTTTACACTTATCAGAGGTGCTTTGATGTGGCAATGCGGCATCCACATGAATTTGCAAGTGTATGCAACGAAAACCTCTGTTTTTAACCTAAATAGTTGAAACAGATTCGTTTTTTTCCTGGCTAGGTAGAAAGTGTGCTGGGAACCCCCCACACAAAGTTGTCTTCTGGAATGCTCTGCAAATTCTCTGTATTTGTCATTATCACCCGATGCACTCTCAGTGTTCTAAGGAGAAAAGCTGCAGAGTCTGCATTCCTTTAGAAGTATATAACCCCTAGGGAATATCTCACCTAAACTGAAATTCCTATTGCAAGGGGTGCCTAATATCTGACTTGTATCCTAGTGCAGATTTCTGTGAAAATCACTAAGCCAATCACACAAGCAGAAAATTACATTTCTGGGGGCATTCTGTAGACCAATGGTCGGCATATTACAATGAATTTACAGGAAATTAAAATGACTACAGATTGAAGAGGAAAGGTATTTTTTATATTAAATTACATCATAGTTTGTGTAGCAATTTTTTGCATTTTTTTTTCCAAAAATACTGTGTGCTGATCCCCTCAAAGCCCGTCCTGATACTCACCTGAGCCCCCTCTCGATCCATCAATGTGCACGGGAGCCTTGGCTATCCTGGGTCTCTCTCTCCCCAATGGCTGAGATACAGAAGCAGGAGTCATTGCCTCCCACTGCTGTCAATCACAACCAGTGAGCCAATGAGGATACAGCAGGGGGAAAGGCCGAGTCAAGGCTCTATGTGTCTTATGAACGCATAGAACGGGGCTCCGGAGCAAGCTTGCACCAGTGCCCACATACAAGCGGTTTGCTATTGGGGGCACTGGTCAAAGGGGAGGAGCTGGGACAGCAGAGGAGGAACCGAGAAGAGGATTGGGGTTGCTCTGTGCAAAACCATTACACATAGCAGGTAAGTATTTAGGCATGTTATATAGCAGGTATGTTATTATTTTAAGAAAGAAAAATGAACCTTTAATATCACTTTAAAGCATGTCGTTTACTATTTATTAGTTTATTGGGCAGGACTGTGAGGATGGTGTGTGGGGAGGTGTTTTATTATAAATCTGCTTTGAAAGGGCAGTATATTGACAGATTGACTGAGGAGCAAAAAACTGAAAGTGAAAAAAAGAGGAATTTTACACCATAAATACGGAACGATTTAAATGATGAATGTATTTTTTCATAATCAATATATTATAATACAAAAATGCCAACTTTATGGGATCTATTTATGAATGCTTTCACACAAGATTCACACATCTTTTACCCATTTTATAATTTTTCCAACTGAATCCAAATAGAAAAAATATATTTTTTTGTGATAAGATTTATATCAGTGTTTTTCAACCTTTTTTTAGTCAAGGCACCCTTTAAAATTATGGACAATCTCAAGGCACCCTTTAACATTCTGCACAATCTCAAGGCACCCCATTCTAAAATGTAAAAAATCATTCTAATAGTTTTACAGAATGCAGCAACATCCATACATGGAGGACACCCAACATTAGAGGTGATTTATTCTTCCAAAGCAAATACACCTTTGTACATTGGTACTGACTAGTATTCCAATGTTCCTTTTCTCCCTCAGTTTCTCTCTCTCACTCAGAAAATGTGACCCCAGTGCTGATAGAGAGGGGCAAACAAGGATGCTGTGCAGGTGCCCGACATCCTCCTTATCAACTAATGATGTAATTGGTTGTTAGGATGCTGGCAGTTGGCAGGTTGTAAAAGTGCACAATAAAAACCTGTGGCTTTGTGTAACTAAAAGGCAGGCTTGATTCACCCGCTGGCTTGTATACAATTTTTGGCCAATTTTTAGACATTTTGCCAAGGCACCCCAGGGTGCCTGGGCATCCTGGTTGAGAAAGATTGTTTTATATTTATGATGTACCCTGTATTCTTATCAATACTTTTTCCTGAACATATTTATTTCAAGGCTTTCGTGGCCCCTTATGTTCTTACTTTTCCATTGTTTCTTATTTTTTTTTCCTTTTTGTTTCTTATATATTTAAACGTTAATAAAAATTAATTGAAACCAATTAGAAATATGTGTGAATGCTGAATGAAAGTTGTGTGCATATCCCACTGGTATACAAAGAGGCTGTTTGTAAATAGTTGCACCTGCACTACACCACAAAACATTGTACCTTGGGTGGTGGAGGTTCATTCGCTTCTATCCCATTCTACACAACAAGTGTTCTTGTACTAAGCACAATTACATGCCAAAAGCACTAAATAAGTGACCCTTTCATTTCACTTTTATTACTTAGTTTATATACCATTATTTATTTGATTTATTATTTTTTAGTATATTGATCTTCATGCATGTGAAGATTTACAAGGACATTCTGCTTACTCGATATGATATATTGCACCTCTAGAAAATACTTTGTTGTTAAAATCTTCAGTAAAAAGACTGAAACAGAAAGTTGCATGAATTTTGTGTGAAAACATTTAAAAATAGTCCCCATATTTATCCTTTATGTGCATAAAGCATGTCTGCTTAGTATCTACAAAAATTACGCTGATGGCGTAGCTTCATGCCCCAAACACTATGCTCTGCATAGAAATCAGTCAGCTTCCAGGCTTTTTTGCCAAAGCTTAATGGAACAAGCTGAAGTTAAAATCTCATTTGCTACCATGCACAGCTACACCAGATTCTGCACTCTCCAGTTTTAGTAAATCAACCCCAATGCATTGTTTAAAGGAGGGTTTTAAATAGTTAAAAAGTTTGTGTTTGATAAGAATATCACTATAAAATGGACAACTCCATAAAAGCTGACCAAGTTGGCTATGGCACCAATCATGTCTGTAGCTTGTATTTACATATATATATATGTATATATATATATATATATATATATATTCCCGAATGGGGCAATGAGATAATGTCACAAGCATTGCAGCAGATCAAAATTACGGATCTGTGTCACTCGGGGGGGGGGGGGTAATGAATTATTGTATAATAGAAGAAATTATATGTTCAGTGTACTAACATGGGTCCAATGTATGATGAAAATAAATGATGGGAATGAAAATCCTAATGGGCAATGGAGGTAATGATATATGGAAACTAGTGCATTGAAAAAACCCAAGCAATGTTATGGGTGTGGCAAGCAGCAGTCAGAGAAACTTTGATGCACAAAGGCCACAGCTAATTGGCATAATTTGAATGAGGTCACAGGAATGCGGATAGCAGATGAAGGAGTACTAAATAATAAGGGTGGGGTACATGGGAATTTGTACCATATGTTGACTGAAGAACTGTGATATCACCACGCAAGATATAAGTTTTGGCCCCTTGTGGAACTCAACTGCATCCAAACTTAACACATTGCATGAGCCAATTGTGTTTTTTAAACATATTAATCCTGTATATATTCTGTGAATAAAACTTGATATTATGGTGCACTCTTGCCTCTTAACAACTGACCATAAGTACTCCAAATTATGCCTGAACAAGGATTTGGATGTTCTGGGTTAAGCACTTACTATGCCAGTATGCTTCTTTCCCATCTATTGTACTCAGGAAGATTATTATTATTATTATTATTATACAGTATTTATAAAGCGCCAATAGTTCGCTCAGCACTGTACATTACAAAGGGAGACAGAACATGTGACAGAACAATACCAATACAATGCGATACATGAGGGGATCGAGGGCCCTGCTCTTTCGAGCTTACAATCTAGGAGATAGCCGCCCAACTGTCCTTGGGTACTTGTAGAAGAGTTTGAATCTCCTTCACAGTGTGGCTCAAAATTGATATGGTCCAGAAACATTTAAATTCTGCCAAGATCCGCTCCTTCTGCCAAGATCCGCTCCTTCCTCACCCCAGACACCACCAAACTTCTAGTACACTCCCTCATCATCTCACGCCTTGACTACTGCAACTCCCTCCTCACTGGCCTACCCAAGTGCAGGCTCTCCCCGCTCCAGACCATCCTGAACTCAGCTGCCAGACTCATCCACCTCACCACCCGCTCCACCTCTGCCACCCCCCTCTGCCTCTCCCTCCACTGGCTCCCGATTGCCCAACGCATCAAATTTAAACTCCTTACCCTGACCTACAAAGCCGTTCACAACACTGCCCCTGACTACCTCACCAATCTGATCACCAGGTACCACCCTACCCGTACCCTTCGCTCCTCACAGGACCTCCTTCTATCCTGCTCCCTGGTCTCCTCCTCCCATGCACGACTGCAGGACTTCTCCAGGTCCTCCCCCATCCTCTGGAACTCACTGCCCCAATCCATCAGACTGTCGCCTTCTCTATTCACATTCAGGCGCTCCCTCAAAACCCATCTCTTCAGGGAAGCCTACCCCACCCTCACCTAACGGCCATCCTCCCTCATTCCTCCTACCACTTCATCCCCCCCAGCCACTTCCTACTGTACCTTTACCCCCTCCCTCCTAGATTGTAAGCTCGTAAGAGTAGGGCCCTCTTACCCCTCGTACGCTGTCTGTCTTTGTTGTACTGTGCCATGTATTGTCCCCCCCTATTGTACAGCGCTGAGCAAACCCTTTGGCGCTATATAAACTCGTAGTAATAATAATAATAATAATAATTTAAATTTAACTCTGCGCAAATACAAAAATTATCTCTTTCAGTGGGGATTTGGCTGTCAGTGGACTGTCCCTCTATATCCTCAAGTCAAGAGCAGGGCTTTGGACCCTGCTTTGTCTTGATGATGTCAGGACCCTAGACCAGTGG